CCCTAAACCCTAAACCCTAGCCCACCTGGAGTGCTCGGCGCCGGGAGGAAGGTGGCGATGATCGCGGCGAAAGCACCGGTCGCCCCATTCACCATTCCCGGCCTGCCGCTGTTTCAGTCCGGATGTAGGAGCCAGGGTTTGGATTTGAAGGGTTTAGGGTTTAGTTTAGGGTTCATGGCGTTAGGCGCTGTCGATGGTGCAAAGGACAAAGTTGATGATCGCGTGATGCCACGTTGTAAGTGAGGACCGGGTTATGGGTTCGGTCTAGAGTGCGGGGTGTGAGACAGGGGCCATAAGAATTAAGAATTGGAATTGGGTTTGGGGGTGGTGCAAGCATATGAGGCAGGGTCAGACGTGGTGTGCGCTAGGGCTTACTTACGAGTCGAGTTCCAAGTTTAAAGTTTAGGGCTGAGGGCTGTACTTGTCAGACTTATCAGAAATCGCCAGGCGCGCCTGCCCCCGAGGAGACTGCAGAATAGTCCTTGGCAACTAAAAGGGGCTGATGTTTTGCTTGGGTTTGGGTTTGGGGTCAAGGCTGCTGCCTCCGTTCCATGCTGTTTCAATAAGAAGTTTGTCTAGCAAGCCCTCAAGCCCTCGACGTCTGACACACGTCAGAATCTCACTCCTTCTTTAACAAGAAGCATGAGAAAACAACGGATGCTTTATGGGGCGTTGTGAAAAAAGAAACTCAAAAGAAACAGGAACGACAAGCTACCGTCAGCCACAGGATTCCTCTGTGCCTCTGCTCGAAGCCCCCTAGACCCATAATGCAAAGTACTATGTTCAAGAACCCCCTGTAGGTTATCATTTCCAAACAAGACTTGAACACATCTCCTCAGGAATACCCAGTCAGAGGCTCCGATGATCCAGGCCGCATGCAGCGCCACGTGAGGCCGGACGTGGGCCAAGAAGGCAAAGGCCACGGACTCCGGCACCTCCCAAAACAGCTGGGGATGGGTTTAAGGCTACTAGTAGGGTTCGGGTCTCTTTAAACGGCATGCTTAAGGCTTAGGGTCCAGCTAAAGGCTCTACGGCTTGAGGCTTACATTCACTTCCAGGGGTTTAAAGCAAAGGGTCAGGATCTACCGTCAAGCGCTTGAAAAAATAGAAACACAATCTCTACAACGATCTTCGGGAGCCGTACGGACTCTTGCTGATGATTCTGACCCCCTGCGGTAGGAGTTTGGGCCGTAGATCTTTGCCTGAAGATTGTACCATGCACCCTGGACCCTGATGCCCTCAACCCTTCTGATTTATGGGCACCAAACCCAACACCCCGCAATCCGACAGTCCTCTAAACTCTGGATAGCATAGGGGTCGGTTTCGGGTTTAGGGAATAGGGTTCGGGGTACGTTAGAGGATAGTGTCACTAAGAGGGCAGCCCCCCCCCCAAAAAAAAAAAAGCCTTTGAACCCACAGAGACCCTCACAGGCGCCCGAGCCCTGACGTAACCCCAAATAGCGGGATCCACTTTCGAGGGGGTTGCAACACATTTGAACAGGCTTTTGATGTATCTTATGATGTACGCACTGTAAGAAACCAGATTGTTCCAAGAACTACTCTGCGCTGGCATCGTGTGGCACCTGGGCAAAGCCGATGGTCACCCCTAAGAGAACCTCCTGGCACACTGCTGGGCTTTCTAGAGTCTAGCGTTTAGGGTTTAGGGAGTAAAGACTCTGGACAGGTTGGCTAAAGTATTAAAGGTAGTTACAGTTGAGGTTTTAGTGGTGCCTTCCAAAGACTAGACAGGTACCTTCGTTACGGGCAGGGTATGGGGCTCCCACCACGGACAACCCTGGCTTGGAGGCTGTAGGTAAGGTTGCGAAATCTCCCGAACAGCTCATCTGAGTTATGGTTCTTGTGTTAATGACCGACGATTGCTAGAGGCACTCTCCTCAATCCTACAAACGTCCATAGCAGTTCGATCAGCATTCATCAACCCACAAGAAAACCAAACACCTCAGAAAGTATCCTCTTGAGTCTCAGCCTCTTGGAGAACTTCTGCAACTGAAATATAGAAGCCTTAATGATTAGAATAGGGCCAGGGCTTTGAGGTATATAAAACCATTTACTTACTATCACTGTACTAATGAGCCCCCAAGAATAGTATTGGTAATTATTCAGGCTCCTATCGTAACCTGATCAGAACGAAGCCCTAAATAGTTCTCTAAATTCGGGTGCCTTTTGTCCTCCGTATAAGGGTGGCGTACTATTTTGGGACCCTGAAAAGGGACCCTACTTTAGAGAACTGTCCAAACCCCAACCCTGAGCTGGCACAGAAAACCTAAAACCAAAACCCCTAAAAACTCTCGACACAGCCCCAGCGCTCGGCGCTGCAGTTTGTCCCGCAGTGAGCGCTCAAAAGGCTTACGGGCTTCGGGGTTTTAGGGCTTCGGGGTCTAGTCTAGAGGCGGTTTAGGGTTTGCAGCTGCAGGTTCAGGGTCCAAGGTTCGGAACCTACGCAAGGACTTCGGGTTGCTAGGTGGTTTTTAGTGTTAGAGCTCAGCGCCAAATCCTGACACCCAAACTCCATTAAGGCCTTCGCTAATATTTTAGTGTTTGGGGCTTGGGTTTCAACGAATTCCACTCGGCCGGCTTTCAGGCAAACCGCGACAACACTTTCGAGGCACCCTGTTGAACCAATCCCTAGAACAGACTCGTGCAACTGCAACGAGCCCGAAACAAAGTTGCTATTGATTTACTAAGGTTTAGGGTTTAGGGTTTAGGTTTCTGTTTGGGAGCAATATCTCGAGACCACTTCATGCAAGTAGGCTTTGACTTGGGCGTCCTTGGTGACGTAGCTGGCCGTGACTCCCTCCCGCGTCAGCAGGTCCGGAGGAACGAAGCGTCCACCTGAAGAAAACTCTGATCCACTTGCCTCACCACAACAAATCCCTACATCCTAGACTTGCCCTAAACCCTAAACCCTACAACTACCCAACAAAAACACAGACGTTTCGGGTTGAGTCCGTGGGTTTTCAAAAGGCTGCGAGGCCGGGAGTCCTCAAGAGCTGACGCTGAGTGGAGGGGGGTTCCGGGATGAAGGCTTTGGGGCTTTGCTTCCGGGGTTTAGTGTCTAGGGCCTAGGACCCTAGAGTTTCTGGTCTTCGTGTCCCGCCTGGACATCGATTGTTTGGGGGGGGGGGGGGGGGCTCNNGCTCTTGTTTACAGAGCTTGGGGAGGGCATCCGCAAACAGGCCGAATACGAAGCCCCGAAACCCACAACGCTCCAAACACCAAGCCCATCAACTCGCGCCCACGGCAAAAGCGGCTCTCTAGATACCCCCTCAATCCTAAGCACTAAAAACCCGATATAGCTCATAAGCATAACACCTCAACAACCTACCATGCCTAGTCCAGGAGTCTGAACAAACATCCCCAAACCTCTCAACACTCAACCAAACATAAAATCCCCAGCCCACCCACAATTCCACTACCATGTCCAGCCTAGTCCGAACCAGCCACTCGGTGCTGACGAAGGGATCGAGGCTGCCCCTCGCAGCCAAGCTTGTTGTTGTCTTGTTTGTCTAGGCTTTGAAATTTAGGGGTTTCCGAAAATAGGGNNATAGGGGACCCCAATATAGCACCCCAAATAGTAGGATCCTTATTATGAGGACCCCAAAATAAGGTACCCCTAATTTTCGGAAACTCCCATTTAACCTTAGAGTGGGGCGACCTTAGAGCGTCGAGATTCGAGTCTGATTAGATCTCTAGTATTGAGTTTCGGCGCGTCTTTTGTGTAGGGTTTCTGAGCTCGCAAGACTTTACAACGGTCTTTATGGAGTTTAGAGCGGGTCGATGCTTCAGGGCGCGGGCCTAAACCCTGAAGCCCAATTCAATAGGGTTCAGGGCCCTAAACCCTAAACTCTAAACCCGAAACCCGAAACGAAGGGTTTCAGGGCTTGGCCTTCAGTCCTGGACATGCAGGGGCTTTGGGTCGCGCAACCAAACAGCCGCACTGATCACCCGGCCTTTGCCACAAAGCTGCACCTTGCTGCCGGTCGTGACCGTCCTGGCTTGGGAGTCTTCTGATATGGGGGGGCCTTCATTGTTCAGACCCCTTCAGCAGGGCTTTGTGAAGTAATCTTATGCTGAGAGTTTAGGGCAGCAGATTTACAGAAGCGAGCTCAACTGCCCAGAGCAAGTAACAGTAGGAGCGACGACGACCACTACCACAACAACCACATGATGATTGTTTTCTAGGCTTTGGCCTCCGGCAACCCCGAATCGGTGGTTTTGTGGGTGCTGTGTGCTCCTACTCCTAGAAGTCTTCAACTTCTAATATACCCCGGGCCACCGGACCCTCAGCCCCCCGGCTGTCAACTCTTCCACCCGATTCCCTAAACCACCAAATTCAAATCCTGAACCCTGAAACCCGAAATTCCCGAAAACAGGCTTGCAGACTTTGGTGCATGAGGGCTTTTGCGGGCACTTTATCTGTGCTGCCACCCACCACTCTCAGCCGTGACGTGTCTCTAACCACTGTGCACCGTACACACCAAACTGCAACCCCAACACTTTAGCCACTGATGTAGGGGCCTTAATAATTAGAATACGGTTTGAGGGTATCTTATACAATATAACTATAACAAGGAACCCCCCGAAACAGTATTGGTAATTATTTCGAGGAAGGCAGCTCCTGGCACTGACTGCCGAGGTCACGCCCTCGGACGCCATGGCACAAAGGAGAATCTCAAAAGCAGTGCAAAATGTCGGTCGTCTGAGCTTGGGCCACTGGAGGCTACGGAGTTTGACAAGGAAGCCGTGGAGCAAAAGCTCGGCGTGCTGGTTTGGCGTTTAATTCGCGTTGTAAGCTGTGGGTCATGGGCTCCCCTTTTGTTTAACCTATGTCGTGATTTAAACTTAAGTGCTTGTGAGAGGGGCCGCGGGTGGTCTTTCGAGCTCTTGACGACCCATGCCTTGCTGGGTCATTTCTTCGTTTCGTATCACATTGCACCGTTATGACAGTAGCAGCAGAAGTATCACAATCACTACCATTCAAAGCTCAGTGCTGCATTCGAGTTGATGTTGCCTTGTCCCCGGTTGTTGTGCTTTACCTCGACCTGCTCCTCTACAATGCCTTCTGCCACGTGCAATGCGTTGCCTTCCGAGAGGAAGGCCCATAAACTCCGGGCGCAGACCTTTGGAACACGTGCCTCACCCACAGCACAAACCAACCGTGGACCTATTCTAAACCCTAGACCCTA